AAAAAAAAACATTTATATTTAAAAACATTCAAATTACAAATTTTATTCCTAAGACATTTATAATAATTTTACCTTGCTTAAAATGCCAGATAAATCCACATAGAAAAAAATCCTACACGGAATGAATCAGTTTTTTGAAATAGTAATTTCGCATTCATTCTCATTCAAATTATTCTTTACATGGTTTTATAAGGAATCATTGTGTTTATCATTAGGTTTTTCGAATGTTTTACATATGACTTTCTATGTGGTTGTATGGATATTTCCATATCAAGCAGACAAAGCAGCATTACAATTACGATATTCTACATGGTTCTACTTGAAATCCCACGTCAATCGTTTACTGGATTTTATAATATTTGAAATTACGAATTTCTTGTAATTTACGCGGTTTAATGAAGAATTCCAGTTTCAAAAGCTGCATTCATTCTTATGGAAATGCTGCATTCATTCTTAGGGAAATGTGTTCTATGCGATTTAACATGGTTTTCCAGAAAACTCCTCATGCAAATTCCTCATAAATGTTTTAAGATAATTCCTACCCGGTTTTACGAGTAATCTGAATCCATTTTAATTCATTTCAATTCATTCTCGTTTGTTCGGTTTGCACCAGTTCATCTTTCTTCCTTTTCTCTCCAGGAGGAAAGTAGAAGAAGAAAGATGAACTAGTGCAAAAGTTCAACCAAAAAGAACAGGCCTTATGTGTGCCTTCTAACAAGCGACACAGTGCAACACATTGATCATATCATCTTTGTTTAACATAGGCAAACAAGAGTGTAATGATCGATTGTGTCATACTGTGTCATTATGTTGTTCAATAGAAAGCACACTATTTCTATCAATGTAGATTAACTTTAATCTCGGTTTAACTTGCTTTTATCTTTTTCTAGTTCTAAGACCCAGTTCCACAATTCATAGTTAATTTAACTGAGATTCAATTTATTTTTCATCTCTTTCTAGAATTGGAAAGAAATAATGAATAAGTATTTGTTCACTTACTTTATTATTATGATTTTTATAATTTAATAATATACTTACATTCATTAATTTCATTTGTACTTTTCTGGATATCCAACAAATTAGAATGGATTAAAATGGATTGAAATTTTTTCTATCCGAATGCGTATTTTAAATAGCGAATACTTTTTTTGGATTTAATTGGATGCAATTAGATTGAAAAACTGCATTTCCTATTCAAAATTTTGAATTGAACAGTATTCACAATGCATAGAAAAAGCTAATATTATTTTTAGATTGAAAGGCATAGATATACTCCATGCAATTTTTATAAATTAATAAAAATGCATTCAGGATTGAAAAGCATTCATTTTAACATTCGTGAATCAATATTTCTGAAAATCTGAATCCATTTCAATTCATTCTCGTTTTCTAGGGTGTAATATGCATTTCATAAATAATGATTATTATGATATAAACAATAAACAAATTTTCAAACCATGTGTTATACCAACACACAATACATCCAAACATATCGATAGTTATAATGGATTCAGATTTTCAAAAATATTGATTCACGAATGTTAAAATGAATGCTTTTCAATCCTGAATGCATTTTATGCATTTATAGGAATTGCATGGAGCATATCTCTATGCCTTTCAATTTAAAAATAATATTTTTAAATAGTTTTTTCTGTGCATTATGAATACTGTTTAATTCAAAATTTTAAATAGGAAATGCAGTGTTTCAAACCAATTGCATCCAATTAAATATAATTGAATCCAATTGGATTTAATTAAATCCAAAAAAAGTATTCGCTATTTAAAGTACGCGCGCGTTCGGATAGAAAAAAATTTCAATCCATTTTAATCCATTCTCGTTTGCTGGGTATGTTTATATAATTTGGAAATCGTTTGGGAAAATTTAAGAAAAGTATTTAAACATTTGGATAATAATATTTTTCTTATTATTAACAAATTTTATCATGCATCAATTTAACAGATAGCGATTTTATTTAACAGACAGTGTTTTATAAGTGGAATCGATTAGAAATCATTTGGAGAAAACGTCTTGGTATTTTTAATTGGGAAAAGTCGCTATTTTGTAATTTGATAGATTTATTTTCAATAGATATTACGAAAACAAACAATGTCCAGGTATAGTGGATGTAGTAGGTATAGTATAATGAATGAAGTAAACCTAAAATCAAAAATTAACCAATTAGCTTGGATCTATAATTATGTGTAGAAGAAATTAATTTAATCATGAATTTAATTATGTTTAATTAAATTTCTTTACATTCAACTGTGATAGGTCAATTTCTTATGGCTCAAGGCTTTTTCTATATTTATTGTATCATCCGAGTGAAGATTGCGAACGCAGTCTAACGTTGGAATATTTGGATTTCGGAGTAAACTTTGATATAAAAATATAAAATGAAGAAGATTTGTTATAATAGTACATATCATTTTTTTTATTTGTAAATATTATTTGTAAAAATTATCTTCTTAATTTGTAAATATTATTATTTAAATATATTTCAAGAAGAAAGAAATGTTTATTCTTTATTTTTATTATTTTCCAGTAAAGACAAACAAATGATTTTATCATACAACCGTTTGTCTATCTGGAAAATAAAAAAAAAGAATAAATGTTGCGATTAAAAATATGCATGTGTTCATGTATACTTTTCGGTTTTTAGTTCGGCTAGTTATTTTGTTTTGCGCATGCGCGTCGCCTTTTTGCTCGACGTGGCAACCGATGCCGGTTGCAGTTCAGTTTCAGTTTCTTTTGTTCTACCGCCCGTCACGAGTTAACGCTGCGAGTGCGTTCTTTTTTCTCACTGTACATGTTGTTTAATTGAAGTATAATAAAGTTTCTTTCTCTCACTCACCACTGTGTTATTTTAATAATAACTCACAACAATAAATATAGAAATTTTTCTTCTTGAAATGTACTTAAATAATAATATGTATTATACAAATTAAGAAAATAACATGTACTATTACAACAAATCTTTTTCTTCATTTTATATTTTTATGTCAAACAAGGATGTTAAAAAGAGGTCGATTTTTGCCCATAAATGTGTAAGTAAAAGGAATACCGTTTTTTATAGATTTTGACTTCTTAAATACAATAATGTTAATAAAAAGTTCAGGATCGACACCTTGAAAAATCGGATCTTTTTTAATATTCTCTAAAAAAAGGTAGATTTTTGCCCAAAAAAATGTAAGTAAAAGAAATAGTTTTTTTTTTGTAGATTTTGACTTTCTGAATATGATGAAATTATTAAAAAGTTTGTGACACTTGGGGAAATACCTTGAAAAGTAAGTAAAAATATTGAAATTTGTTCAAATATATCATGTTCATGGTTAATTTCTAAGGTGTTACCTATCGAACTTTTCTCTATCTTGAACCTTTTATTAACATTATCGTTCAGGAAGTCAAAATCTATAAAAAACGCCATTCTTTTTACTTACATCTTTATGCAAAAATCGGCTTCTTTTTAGCATCCTCCTTTATCTCGAAAACCGAATATTCCAACGTTAGATTGCGTTCGTAAACTTTACTTGGATGATATAATAAATGTAGAAAACCTTGAGTCATAAGAAATTGACCAATCACAATTAAATGTGAAGAAAATTAGTCAAACATTAAATCCACGATTAAGTTAATTTCTTACTACACATAATTAGATCCAGGCTTTAGTTAATTTTTGTCGATTTTAAGTTTACATTCATATATTTACAACATCCGAGAATTGTTCATTTTCGTAATATGTGTAAATCTATTGAATTACAAAATAGCGACTTTTTCCAAATGAGAATACCAATGAAAACGTCTTCCCCAAATGATTTCCAATCGATTCCATTCATAAAACACATTAAATAAAATCGCTGTCTGCTAATGTGACGCATGATAAAAATTTGTTAATAACAAGAAAAATATTATTATCTAAATGTTTAAATAAGTTTCCTAAATTTTCCCAAACAATTTTCAAATTATGAAGACATAAATAAATCAGAAATATTCAATTTATCTACTATCTTGTCAATGGTGCATATTCGCGTATCGAAGCATCCGATCAATTACTGAGGGTGCGCTCTCATGGGATGCGAAACTGCGAATATGCGGAACATTCGTGATTGGTCGTGACTTTAGGGTGCCATAACACACACATGCGGCGTAACTTGCGTAAGCGTAACTTTCATCACCAATCATATCGTTTTAATTGAACACAGTTTCTGCCTAGTTACTTTATGTTTTTTATGCTATTGGGTTGTTCGGAAAGTAATTTCGTTTTTTTTCAACAGAGGACTTAATTGTATTTGTTCACAGCCAACTTCACACTTAAGCCGCATAATCATTTTATATTTTGACAGCTGATATAGCAAGGCTTGCTTGTGAAAAAAGTTCGATTGATTCTACGCAGTAGTTTTTGGTTAGTGCCCTATCAAATATGGAAAGTGAAAAGCAGCATTTTCGGCATATTTTACTTTTTTACTATCGAAAAGGTAAAAATGCTGTTCAAGCAAGAAAAAAATTATCCGATGTGTATGGAGAAGATGTATTGACAGAACGCCAGTGCCAAAATTGGTTTGCAAAATTTCGATCCGGCAATTTTGATGTTGAAGATGCACCACGTTCTGGAAGGCCAGTTGAAGCTGATGAAGACACAATAAAGGCATTAATTGATGCAAACCGGCGAATAACAACTCGTGAGATCGCTGAGAGATTAAATTTATCGAATTCGACCGTTCATCATCATTTGAAACGCCTAGGTTTAATCTCAAAGCTCGACATATGAGTTCCTCATGTTCTTTCGGAAAGAAATTTGTGCCGTCGCATTGAGGTCTGTGATTTGCTTCTCAAACGTCAAGAAAATGATCCATTTTTGAAGCGCATCATCACTGGGGACGAGAAATGGTCTACAACAATGTTAAACGCAAGAGATCATGGAGTAAAAAAGATGAACCGGTTCAAAGCACTTCGAAAGCCGATATTCATCAAAAAAAGGTAATGCTATCTGTTTGGTGGGATTTCAAAGGAATCGTTTTTTTTTTTAGCTTCTACCGGACAACATAACGATCAATTCTGAAGTGTACTGTCATCAGCTGGACAAATTGAATGATTCACTTAAACAGAAAAGGCTAGAATTGATCAATAGAAAAGGTGTAGTGTTCTACCAAGATAATGCGAGACCTCATACAAGTTTAGTAACTCGCCAAAAGCTTTTACAGCTTGGATGGGATATACTGCCACCATATTCTCCAGATCTGGTACCTTCTGATTATTATTTGTTCCGGTCTCTACAAAATTTTTTAGACGGTAAAACCTTTACTTCAAATGAGGAAGTCAAAAATCACCTGGATCAGTTTTTTGTCAGCAAAGAACAAAAATTTTATGAGCATGGAATCATGCTACTGCCAGAAAGATGGCAAAAGGTATTGGACCAGAATCGACAATATATAATTCAATAAAATATTTATTCCCTATAAGAAAATCGTCTTTCATTTTCATAAAAAAAAACGAAATTACTTTCCGAACAACCTAATATTTTGTTATTACGACAAAACATGATGGAACAAAATATTAATGTTAAAGTTGATGACTATTAAGATTAAGAAATTTGTCACAGAAACAGAATGAGGTCTATAATTGTATTGTTCCACATGAGTTTCAACTGATTTCGACTTTCCACGTGATGCAATAAGGCGCACAACTTCTGTAATTATACTGTTGCAAAATCGAAATCCATTTTTTCAAACAGAATAAGCTAAAATGAGCTAGAAATTGGAATTGACGCATAGTGATTTTATTATATATCGGCGTAACAACAAAATAACGTAAAAAGCATAAAGTAACTAGGCAGAAACTAATGTTCAAATGAAACGATATGATTGGTGCAAGTTATGCTTATGCAAATTACATCGCATCCCATTCCGCCGATTCCGCTGGTTTTTGTTGCGCAAATTTATTTCTTTTGCAGATTCCGCCGATGCTTGAGTGTGTGCGTGTACATATACATATATTTATAAAAACTAACCTCGTTAAGTTGATTTAAACGAAGAAAATTATCTTTTACAAGTGCATGGTTAATCAACATGCTGAGGCGTGCTCGGATTTCCACCTGAGTGTTTTCCAGATGCTATGTCATCCTTGTTTAACATTAAATAACAAGAATAGAGTGATACCTGGGTAACAATCGGGTGGAAATCTGAACATAGCCCTGAAAGTAATTAATTGGGTCTCCAGATAAATATGGAGGTCAATATGGTCAGAACACTTTCTTCTTCTTCTTCAGGTAATAATGGCACCCGCTGCAGAACTGACGGCGATTCCGGCCAGAACGAAAATAGATGGAGTATCTAAAATATCCAGTTCTTATTATCTTGGAATGGAATTTTGAATTTGGGTCGATGGAGGACAGTCTCGTTGGCAAGCTGATTTGCAATTTCATTGCCTCGATTACTTCTATATCCTGGTACCCAGATTAAATTGACGGTGAAGCCATGTTGTTTCATATAAGAAAGACGATTTTTTATATCATGAATGAGGTAACTCGTATATATATATATATATACGAGTATATATACGACATTCGTGTTCTGAAAATCTGACCATGGAGTTCGATGCACGCTACCGTCCTGTGCGGACGTGTCTCGATGATCTCGTGTGCGTCATTAGCGATTATGACATTCTTAGGGGCGTTTTTCGTGTTTCGACTATGGTCTGAGAGCTCTCTTGGCTTTTGACTTTTCGCCTCTTGCCTTTTGTTCCGTTTTCTTTACAACTCTTGATACTTGCGCCTAGCTCGCGGTGCATTCATACTCGCCTGTGCGAGAACATGTGTGACCCCCCTAAGGGAGGAGGGCCAAGCGGCTCCGGCCGTCCGCCTTTTTCTTCTCTCCACCCTTCGTTAATGTCAACAAACTATACTAAGTTAGGCGATATCCCCACCAAGTGGTTCAAAACATTTGCTAAAGAAATTTCCACTGTGGCATTAAATGATGAGTGCTCGCCTATGGAGATTACGATTGATCGTCTTGCGAAATTTCGTGAGGACCCTGTCTTGGACCGCGCAAAGCAGGAAGCCAAAAAAAATATAACGCCGGACATGCCTTTAAACAGACTAACAACAGGTATGGATCCAACAACCACGCGCCCTCTATTGTGCATGCTTAAGTGGAAAATGAGCGCATTACTGAGCAGGCGTATGAGATTTTAATGAAGCGGCAGGTAGCAAAAAATATGTGTACTGATATCGTGCGCATGAATAAAATATCTCGTGGAAAAATCTTAATTGAAATGCGCACTGCGGACGCGGCTAACCGCCTCGTGACCAATTGTGCTCATCAAGGCTAGTTTTTCACTTTCTATCCCCATGTATAAAATAATGCGATCGGGCATAATCAAAGATGTGCCAACTTCGGTTACAGAACAAGAGCTTAGATCTAATCTTAAAACCTCATGCGCTGATAGAAATAAGGAGGCTTAATAGGCGCGTGGTCAGGAATGGAGTAGTGGAATATGTTTCTTTCACTACTATTAATATAAAATTTGCAGGCCAAACGCTACCCAGGCAAGTATATCTCTTTTACGATGCCCATGAAGTTACCCCCTTTGTCCCTAGAATTAAAACGTGTTTCTCTTGCTACAAAATTGGACACATACATAAATATTGCAAAAGTCGCTCACGATGCAAGCTGTACGGCAAGGACGCTCACAATGATGGCGATGTGTGCAAAAGGCAGGATCTTCCCCCCATTTGTGAATTGTTCAGGTGATCACCTTTCAATATTCCCCTCTTTTTATTAAACAAAAGAATGTGCAAGCATTAGCGGCTATTGAAAATATATCTCTTTCGGAAGCCAAAAAACGCCAGTCCTCTAACACCCCTTATAACGCTCCTAAACAAGATCGGCGATTGGTAATGTAAACGTTACAGATTATAGTTTTTATAATGTTCCTCTACTTCCCTCTACAAACAACGCGTCTCATTACTCATTTGATAGCAATAATAATAATTTTCACTCATTTGGAAGGATTGAATACACAAGATATAGCTTACGCGAAGGCGACTTCTAAATATCCCTCCACTTCCTTCGACCGTCCACATCCCTCTGTTACAAATCAGGGAGGCTTATGTTATCATTCACGTAGTAACAAATCTAATCTAAAAAATTTCGGTACTGGTCATTCTTCGTTCCAGGAACCTGATACTCCTGACATCAGGCAAGAAACATTAATATCTCCCAATGGCAGAACCCCTTGGCAGTCAGATAACGGCGTCGTCTTTGGTGGTCGATAAACCGAACACCAATCTGAAGATCATAGCTATAGCACTGTACAATAACTGCCATCCTGAAAAGTACAATATGGTCAACCCTGTCATGGATATTAATGCTATTTTCTCGCTTGAGTTCAGCTCAAACAGCCGGAGCGAGCAGACGTGTTTGTTTACTTCGCCTCGCTACGTCTCTTCGCTGTACAGCTAACTATTGTAATAGACGCGAGAACGTGTGCTAAATATAAACTCAAGAGAGTAACTAAATAATTAAATATATATGGCCTATGGTCTTAAACGAAATCAGATTTTCTTCGGTTAGAAGAAATTCAAGTGAATCTGCAGATCAGCAATGGCAATCATCCGCCAAAAAAAAAAACGAATAATAAGCAGTCCTGGGGAAACCTCGGCCAAAAAACGTCACATCAAGGACTATTGGTTAAATAAAACAATAATCTCTGAAAATCCGTTCAATCTACTAGCCACAGATGAAGATACAGAAAATAATACTCAGAAAGTACATGTAGAGAAAATCTCCAAATCACCTCCAATATTTGTCAGTGGAGTCGAGGACATAGGACCGCTTACGAAATTGCTAGATGAAATTGACGGCAAAAACTACAGCCTTAAAATTCTGGCCAATAACCAAGTAAAAATTTTGCCTAGCATGTCAGAAAAATATCTACCAATCATTGAAGGATTGAAAAAGAAAAAGACAGAATTTTACACCTATCAAAGAAAGCAGGATAAATCTTATAAAGCGGTTTTAAGAAACATGCACCCATCAACGGATCTTGAAGACTTAAAAGCTGCCATCGAAGAATATGAACATAAAGTAATTAGAATTACAAATATACGAGAAAGAACCACACAAAAATCTCTACCACTATTCATAATAGAGATTGAACCTAAAGATAATAATAAATCTATTTTTAACATCGATAAGCTACTGAATATAATCGTCAGCTTCGAACCACTTCGCAAAAAAAGGGAGATTCCTCAATGCCAGAAATGCCAGGGTTACGGTCATACAAAAAACTACTGTTTTAAAAGTCCGGTATGTGTAAAATGCGCAATGAATCATCTTACACCTGATTGCCCAACAAAAGGAAAAATTAAAGAAGTCAAATGTGCTAACTGCGACGGTAATCATCCAGCTAGTTACAAAGGCTGTTTAGTGCGTAAGCAACTACAACAAAAATTATATCCAACGTTAAGAAAAAAATCTGCAAATCAACAAACCCAGAACCAACTACAAAGCCTTAACCGCTTCGTTAAACCAAACATAACGTACGCGCACACTGTGAGATCCGACCATAAACAATATACAACAAATACTACCCAGCCTCAAATAGAAACACAAACGACAACAAACACATCAGTAACAGCAACAAGTAAACTCGAACAAATGATGACTCAGCTCATGAGCCGAATGGACACAATGCTAAATTTACTTACAAGCTTAATAAACAAAATTCAATAAGGAAAATCGTGAAATAAATATAGCAATCTGGAATGCAAATGGCTTAGCTCAGAGAATATTGGAAGTTAAGAAGTTCTTAATTGACCAAAAAATTGATATTATGCTGATTTCAGAAACACACTTTACAAATAAAAACTATATAAAAATTCCAAACTACACCATTTACGATACCATGCATCCAAGCGGAAGAGCGCAAGGTGGGACAGCTGTTATTATAAAAACAGCTATTAAACACCATTTAACTGGAATAAATGAAGACGAATTTATACAAGCTACCAATGTAACCTTGAATGATCAGCAAGGATCCTTTATAGTCTCAGCTGTATATTGCCCACCTAAACACTCAATAAAAACTGAGTTGTTTCAAAAATTCTTTAAAAGTCTGGGCCGCCGCTTTATCGCTGCCGGAGATTTCAACGCCAAACACCCGTGGTGGGGGTCTCGTTCCTTGACACCTACCCCACGAGGCCGTCAATTATATGCAACACTACTGGCAGAAAACTTAACTCCAATTTCAACCGGAGAGCCCACCTACTGGCCCTCAGATTTAAAGAAGTCCCCCGATCTGCTTGATTTTGCAATCATAAAAAGCATTGATCCAAAATGTCTTACTGCTAAGTCATGTCTGGACCTTTCATCAGATCATTCACCGGTTATTATCACGTTTACTCGACAAATTACTATGGCACAAAAAATACAACACCTATATAATGGGAAAACCAATTGGACAAAATACAAGCTATATTTGGATAAAAATCTAAATTGCAATATTCCACTTAAGAATCCCACAGAACTAGAAAACGCAATTGAAGGATTCAACATATTAATTCACAAGGCGGTCAATGAAGCTACTCCAACAGTCGCTCTTTTAAAAAAATCTCAAAACATATCCAAAAATATTCAAGCAAAAATTCAAGAAAAAAGGAAAATACGGAAAACATGGCAAATCACGCGAACTAAATCAAACAAAACAAAACTCAACAAAATAACAAAAGAACTTAAATCTCTACTTATTACAGAGAAAAACAAGTCCATTCAAAATTATCTCAAACAGTTAACTGCTACGGAAGCAACAAACTATTCTTTATATAAAGCTACAAAAAGACTGAAACAACCTCAGCTACATATTCCACCAATCAAAAAGAATAACGAGAAATGGGCAAGAAGCGAATCTGAAAAAGCTTATGCCTTTGCTGAACATCTGCATGAAGTGTTCCAGCCAGCAGCCCAAGAAATAACCGATCAAGAGGAAAAGGAACTAATTTGTCTCGAAGAAATCCCTGTCCAAAAAGAATTACCAACAATAAAAGTCAAAAATAAAGAAGTGCTACAAATTTTAAAGTCTCTCCAGAATAAAAAATCTCCAGGCTATGACAACATTAGTGGTAAATTAATCAAGGAATTATCCCCTAAAGGTATCCGATTTCTCGCTATATTAATTAATGCTGTTTTTCGCTTGTGCCACTTCCCCAGTCAGTGGAAAGTGGCGCAAATAATATTAATTGGAAAACCGGGTAAAAACCCGGATCTTCCTACATCATATAGACCAATAAGCTTACTGCCTGTCATGTCTAAGATTTGTGAAAAACTCTTGCTGAACAAAATAAATCCAATTGTTTTATCCAAAAAACTAATCCCG